CAGTTCCCCTGGCAGCGTGTGGAGTTCAGCTTCGGTCTCCAGCTCCACCAAGGAGGAGAGCTCCACATGGACACATCTTACAAGCGCTTCTTCAGGACACACAGTCACAAGCAAGCCGCTCAACACAACAACTATGAGCCTCCCGACCAGCCGCGCTTCCTCATCTCATCCTTCTCCTGCAACATCTGCAATTCCAGCCACCCAGAGCACTTCTAAAACAACCACTCTCGGTAAGCACCCTTTCTCTTTGGTGCCTCTGTTTGGAAGTTTTGTAGTCTCCCACAGTTCACTGAACTCGAACCCTGTCTTTCAGTAATCCTCTGCATTGCTTTGCAAACTCCAAGTTAGATGCTCTCATGCAGAAAGAACCTTTCAATTCCACATATAGAATAGAGACTCTTGTTTTAATAGGGCACCTCTTTACTTTCCTCCATGCATCTGTCCTGGCCTCAGAACTCCACAAGTCGCTTTTCTGGGCAAGTCCAATGGAGTTTTGATGGAATGGGGCTCTACCACCACAATAAGATTTTTCTCACCCTCTTTGTTGTCATGAGGTCCTATTCTCTGGCTAATTTTTTTCTCTCCCTCCTTTGTTTGTGATGATTCATCCAAGAAGGAAAGAGGTTTCATTGCCCCTTTCATAGTGGACGTTCCATCTTTCTACTACTTGAGCTCTGCCTTTTGCATGCCTTTCAGCCTTTCTCTTTCGTAGAGAATATTGTTACACACTTCCATCACAGTAGCAGTGAAATGCAGCTGCCACAGCAAATCTACTCTAGTGTGGAGTAGAGATAGCTGGAGTTTTAGGTTGTTTTTTAGTTTCATATCAAAAGAGATTAAGATGTGGAGGGAGGGAGGGAGCATGAACCCTCCCATAAAACACATGTCCCTTGGATTGGATTTGTCAGCATGAGGCTGCACATTCACCTCTCAGATGGCCCAAGGAACACTCCCTTTCACACTAGTGGTGGGTGTCTGAGAGAGAGAGAGAGAGAGAGAATCTGTGTTCTTTCCCCATATAAAGAAAATTTTAACGACTTTGGAGATTCCCCAATATGCAGAATACTCTGTCTGTCCCCAAGACCTATATGGTTGGAAAGGGGATGGCTGCTAATCTCGGGCTGAACATTTTCCTTGGTGATGGCTGGCATTTTTGGTCTGAAGAGATTGACAGTGTCAATCATCCCAGAGTTCTTCCATTGAAGATGGACCAGTAGGATATGTAAATCCCAGAGTTTAGGGTTTAATGGACAAGACACAGCTGAGTCTGTCAGTTGAATTGATTCCATTTCCCATCACTCAGTTGGGGATATCCCTTCAGGAGAATTAAGCTCCCCCACGCCTCCTGACATTGTCCCCACAAGGGAGGCAAGCACCATGTTCACTCCTTTCACAAGTATTTCTACAGGAGTCACAAGTTTTTCATTTCCTGTTACCACACTGGAAGTGACCACCACAAGGTCCATCTCCACCAGCGGTACCCCAAAGTCAAGTCACTCTCCTCCCAGTCTTGTCACCAGAACGCAGGAAGTCAGTATAAACTCACACCTCACAAGCAGTTCCCCTGGCAGTGTGTGGAGTTCAGCTTCGGTCTCCAGCTCCACCAAGGAGGAGAGCTCCACACGGGCACATCTTACAAGCGCTTCTTCAGGACACGCAGTCACAAGCAAGCCGCTCAACACAACAACTATGAGCCTCCCGACCAGCCGCGCTTCCTCATCTCATCCTTCTCCTGCAACATCTGCAATTCCAGCCACCCAGAGCACTTCTAAAACAACCACTCTCGGTAAGCACATTTTCTCTTTGGTGCCTCTGTTTGGTAGTTTTGTAGTCTCCCACAGTTCACTAAACTCGAACCCCGTCTTTCAGTAATCCTCTGCATTGCTTTGCAAACTCCAAGTTAGATGCTCTCATGCAGAAAGAACCTTTCAATTCCACATATAGAATAGAGACTCTTGTTTTAATAGGGCACCTCTTTACTTTCCTCCATGCATCTGCCCTGGCCTCAGAACTCCACAAGTCTCCTTTCTGGGCAAGTCCAATGGAGTTTTGATGGAATGGGGCTCTACCACCACAATTAGATTTTTCTCACCCTCTTTGTTGTCATGAGGTCCTATTCTCTGGCTAATTCATTTCTCTGTTTGTGATGATTCATCCAAGAAGGAAAGAGGTTTCATTGCCCCTTTCATGGTGGATGCTCCATCTTTCTACTACTTGAACTCTGCCTTTTACATGCTTTTCAGCCTTTCTCTGTCATAGACAGAAATGGCCCAACACCCACAAGAAGATGGTCCTTCTTCATGAAATGCTTATATGCTTGTAATGACGTCAATTTCTCCCTTTCCTTTGAATGGTGGCATTTTCCTAATTTGTCAGCAGCTGCAACAATACTACCCCCAAACATCTGGGCAAAATCAGGTGTTATCCTTCCATCATTAAAAAAAAATATTGCTCTGCCTTTTGCATGCCTTTCAGCCTTTCTCTGTCATAGAGAATATTGTTACACACTTCCATCACAGTAGCAGTGAAATGCAGCTGCCACAGCAAGTCTACTCAGGCTTGTCTACCTGTGGAGTAGAGATAGCTGGAGTTTTAGGTTGTTTTTTAGTTTCATATCAAAAGAGATTATTATGTGGAGGGAGGGAGGGAGCATGAACCTTCCCATCAAACACATGTACCTTGGATTGGATTTGTCAGCATGAGGCTGCACATTCACCTCTCAGATGGCCCAGGGAACACTCCCTTTCACACTAGTGGTACGTGTCTGAGAGAGAGAGAGAGAGAGAGAGAATCTGTGTTCTTTACTCATATAAACAAAATTTTAGGGACCTTGGGTGTTCCCTAATATGCAGAACACTCTGTCTGTCCCCAAGACCCTTATGGTTGGAAAGGGGATGCCTGCTAATCTCGGGCTGAACGTTTTCCTTGGTGATGGCTGACATTTTTGGTCTGAAGAGACTGACAGTGTCAATCATCCCAGAGTTCTTCCACTGAAGATGGACCAGTAGGATATGGACAAGATACAGCTGAGTCTGTCAGCTGAAGTGATTTCGTTTTTCATCACTCAACTGGGGATACATTTGTTTTCTTTTTCACCTTTTTTGACTTGATATTGTCAAATGATGATGCTCTCTGAGAGCTCCAAGGGAGTATGGAACAATGTTGGGATTGGGGAGCTGGAAGAAAGTACATGTGGTGAGTTCACTTTAGTTTATTTAGGCTATCTATTGGCCACTGTATAGGAAAATTATGCTTGTACATAACCTAATTCGTTTTCTGTTTGCCCTGCAATGTGGGGAATTTCTTTCTTCCAGAGCCTTGCTACAATGGCGGTACCTATGATGGAGGCAAATGCATATGTCCAGATAATCTATTTTATGGCCCAAAGTGCGAGTTCCCTGTCGTGGAGATCCCTGTGAAGCAGAGTAAGTGCAGTCAGGAGCAGCCTTTCACTTCCACAGCCTAACTTTGGCAGCCTGTTACCATGCTGTCTATGGATGATAGGAGTTGTATAAAGCTAAAAAAATAAGAGAAGACTATACTTGGAGGGACACGACCTGCAAGCAGGTTGGCATGCATTTCTATGGTATGGAAAAACTAAAACTCACAAATACTTTGAAAGAAATATAATAAGGATTTCTCTGTTAAAGGTTTGGGGAATATTTAAGCTCAAAGTATATGTGAAAATACCCAGATGGGTTTCACCCATGGAAGCATTTACACACCCAAATTTGCTAAATTTTGAAAAAATAATGATGTATAATAAGCTTATAAATGCTGAGGGACTTCTAAAGACAAAATCTCAACTAGAGAACCAAGGATTGATCTTTTCAGGGTGGCCTCAAATGCCTCAATCTATAACCAAGATAAGAAAACACAAGGATTCTCTAAAGAATATACAATATTTGATAAAATATTACTTACCACAGAAGAACAACGAATTCAAAAACTGTACAAATTTCTACTGCAATGGGATACACAAGATGAAGTTAAAGAGATAATGTTAAAATGGTCTACAAAATTTGGATATAATATAAAACTAAAAAAAGGGCAACAAATGTGGACAAAAAATTACAAGTTAACATTAGCAACCTCCTATAAAGAAAATTTATATAAAATGTTCTATAGATGGCACTTGGCGCCAGCCGGACTTGTAAAAATGTTTCCAAATATGTCAAATGAGTGTTGGAAATGCAAGAATCATGAAGGAACTTACTACCATGCATGGTGGACATGCGATAAAGCAAGAAAGTATTGGGTTAAAATTCATAGGTGGATAAAGCAAATGTCAAAACAGGAAAAAGAATTTAAACCAGAAATACACAAAGCTACTACTTAATAATACAGTACATGTTTTGATATCAGCTAGGTTAGTATGAACACAGGTCTGGAAGGAGGAAAATTCACCAAAGGATGACATGATTATTAAAAAAACATTAGAAAGTGCAGAAATGGACAGATTAACAAAAAGATTAAAAGGACAAGAAAAGTCAACTTTCTACCTAAGCTGGAATTTATTTTATGACTGGTGGAAAGCAAAAATCCCGTAATAATTGCATTAAAATGAATAGTAGGGATAGGATCTCACCAGTTTATACTTTATGTTTACACTTTAAAGATACATTATGTTGTATTTATATGTTTTTAAGTTTTATGTTGGAAAATATATATATATATTTTTAAAAGGAGTTGTAGTCCAACATAGGTGGAATGCTGCAGGTTGAGGGACGTTGGCTGGTTAGGATATTTTTGTGTCAAATGTGGGGTAAGATACATCCAGGGAAGCGGGCATCTCCCCTCTCCTGCTACTTTGCATCCTCCAACACAGGTGGCTCACAAAAGCCCTATCACTATCCATCCCACCAGCTCCGAGGTAGGGAGGCTCCGTCAGTGTTAATATCTAATATGGCTCTGGTGCCCTCCAAAGCAGCTGAGAAAATGGTTACTATGCTATGCTAATAAAAAGATGTAGTGAAATTTCTTCAGTTAGAGAGAAGACAGATTTAAACAATGTCAGCGGTAAAAGAAAAAAGGCAACTTCAAGAATGCCAGACCTGTACAAGGCAGAACTACCAAGGCCACAGAAAATCTTTCAGTTATGCTAACCTTACCTTGTAGTGTAGGTGTTTAAAACAAAGCAAAGAATGTACAAATTGATGTATAATTCTTATAGCTACTTTGTTGGAACTGTTCCTAGTTTCAGCTAATGTGAGCTTCTTTCTTTCTCTGTGTTTTAGTAACTGCAAATGTATTGGTTCAAGCCTCGGTGAAGGTCACTAACAGGAACTACAGTAACGAGCTCAATAACACACATTCAGAAGAATATAAACATTTTGAAACTGAGTTTAAGAAGAAGGTAAAAACCAGTCATTAGATCAAACATCTTTGGTTGTTGCCACTTAGAAGCAAACTACATGTGAGATTTACTGTATGAACTATATACTTCTGAGGTCGGTAAAATGAGTACTCAGGTTGCTGGGGGCGCAATGTGTAGCCTGCATAATTAACTTGTAAACCGCCCAGAGAGTGCTTGAAGCGCTATGGGGTGGTATATAAGCAGCACGCTTTGCTTTTTTGCTTTTTACTTCTCTTTTCCTTTTAACTAATTAGACTTACTTACTTACTTCATGGGTGGTTTCTGTCTGAAATGTTCTATGTTTTCTACCTTGCAGATGAGGGAGATTTATAAGGACATCCCTGAATACCATGATGTGGAGATCTTTTACCTGAGGTGAGTGGCCAAGGCAGAAATCAAGTTGAGATTCCATACAAATCCCCAGTGGTCTAGTTCTAATTCACAGCCAAGGAGAGGGAGCCCACTGAATGAATCCTAGCTCCAAGTTCTGTCACTGCAGGGCCATCAGACCCTACTCCTCCAGAAGAAACACAAGAGACTCTTGTGGTTCCTGGTTTCTGTCTTGTTTCTTGTTGCTCGCAGCACTACATCTCTGTTAAGATCTCCTAGACTACTCTTCCTTACCTGTGTATTACTTGGAAAAGTGTAACAAAGAACATAACTGAAGTACTAAGAAATATTTGATTATCACCATCGTAGCACAAAAAACAGGTGAAGAATGTTGGGGAGTAGTTCCATCAGTAGAATACTCATATAGTCATACTGTGAAACTGGGAAGTGTTTCTCAGCAGGAACACAACTTAATCTGCCCTGACAGACTACTGAACATGTATGGCCAAGCAGCCGGACTAGAGCCAGTGTCCCAAGTTTACACCTCACTCAGATCTGAAGCTGACTGGGCGGCATTGGGGAGAATTACTTCCCTTCTGTATAACATATCTCTAGTGGCAGACCTACATTTTGGGGGCCCTGAAGCTTGAACTGTTATGGGGCCCTCTTCACAACCAGGAATGAGGGTTGGGCAACAGCTGGGTAACCACAGTGCGGTTATTCTGTGACGGATCACTACACATTTTTTAAAAATGTGGACTAAAGTCACTTCTGGAGCCTCTTTGGGATTAGGGGCCCTTAAACTTTAGCTTTATTAGTTCCATGGTAGATTGGCTATGTATATCTCACAGGATTGTTCTGAAGACAATATGGGCCAAAGAAGAATCATTTATGACACCTTGAACCTCTTCTAATTCTTGTTGCAGGGTTTTGTATTTTGGTTAAACTCCTCTAGCTGTGCAGCAGAAGTGCAGGGATTTACAGAACAGAATTTGCTTCGAGTTCTGCAGATCAGTCCACCCCTTTTTCTCATCAACTGGCACTTACAGTCTCAATAACTCGTGCTGAGACATTTGAATAGAAAGAAGTAAAATTATTTTCTTTACTTACAGTTTTGAACAGATCAAAAAGCAAATTAACAAAACGTGGCTGCCTGCAACAACAGGCCTCAATAAACTCACTACTTCAAACAGACTAACTATCTCCAACAGACAAAAAGGGGGGGGGAGAAGAGCAGAGAAGCGGGGCTCTCTTTTAAACAGCAACAGAGAAGGAACTGTTGGTTAGTGCTGGTAGTGATTGACAATCGCCCCATCCCAGAAAGGTCCCTCCCAGCCAAACCTACTAAAGGCAACATATAAGGCTGCAATAATTTCAACAGTTCTTTCTATCCAGCAATACAGTATAGTATTGTGTGTCAGCAGCTGAGTTGAGTTCTCTTCATTTATGTCTTAGACCAGGAAGCATCATTGTGGATCATGAAGTCATCTTTGAAGCTAATATAACGAACAACATTAGCATCATTAATGCAACTCTTGAGAACCTGGGAAAGACCGCAACAGATTTGGTGCTGGATAAACTAACTGCCATCAACAACACTGAAAATGATTGTATGAATGGTAAGGGCTCACTAGCAACTGGCAACAAAGTTTCAACTGAGGGCTTGTTTACAAGTAGGAAAAAAAACTTTTATGAATTTGGTTTTTTAGCCTGTTTCAAACTACAGTAATTTTAAAAATTCCGACTACACGATGCACAGGGGAACACTTTATTTTGATTTGTTTTGGCATATTTTAATATCTCTGTCAGTGTAAATTGTGTCTGTGGGGTTTGTCAAGTAATAGATGCCAGGATATATATATACTGAAAACACTGAACAACACAGCAGCAGCGGCTAGTGGCTGCAATAGGCAGCCAGCATGAGGGTGGAAGCAGGCACAGGACAAAGCCTCAAATGCAATGATCATAAAAGCCCATGTCGCCCTCTCAACAATATATGACACAATTTAAAAATATATTAAATGTTCTCCCAAAAGGATGCACATACTGAGCCAAAACCCACATGATTAGTACATGACTTTAAACTGATTTCACAAAGTCCGATCCTCTTCCTGTTCATTTTCATAGTGTAACTGTGCTCTTAATGAAATATTTTCATACCATTATTATGCAGTGCTTATTGAATGGTAAAAGCTTCCACTGTCTTGCTACTAACATGTTTGGCATCTTACAGCCAAAAGGCCTGGACACTTATCACTTGTTTCTACTATTATGCTTTCTTTACAAATATAAACCTCTCTGTGTTCACTTGCACTCTTTGTGGAATAAAAAAGGCAGTCATACAGTAGATGGCAAATCCACATACATTAAACTTGCACACCAATACCAATCTGGGGCCCTTCAGATGTTTTAGATGACAGCTCCCATGCCTTGGGCCTCCAGATGTTCTTGGACTACAACTCCCAGAGGACTTACCACCACCTCTGCTGGCCAGGATTTCTGGGAGTTGAAGTCTAAGAACATCTGGAGACCCAAGGTTGGAGACCACTGTTTTAGATGACAGCTTCCATAAAACCCAGCCAGAATGACCAGGGATCAAGGATTATGGGAGCTGTAATCAAAAAGAGCATCTGGAGAGGACAGTGTTGCCTGTTCCTACAACATTTCCTAGCTACACTTGCTTCAACTCACATCAGTCAGAAGCTCCCAGTTCTTTCTATCTCTCCCATGAAATTGCTAGATCTGGATCACATCTCTTTTGGTGAATTGCATAGTTATAAAACTTTTTAGTCCTTAGGACATATTCTCATTCCTCTTTCATGCCTTTAGTCACTCATGGCTGAACCAGATTACATTTAGTGATTACTTTTAAAAAATTATCCTCTTCTAAAAGAGCTGAGCTCAAATGGGGAAAGATATTTGTGTTGCATAGTTTTTAATTTTTGATAAAAAATTCCCTTCTGCTACATGGTAGAAGTACAGAGATCCACAGAGTAGAATAGCTACAAGTTCCCCAGGGTCCCTCCCTTTCTCATTAACTGGCACTTAAAGTCTGAATAACTGAGAAAATTGTAGTAAAAAGAATAAAAACATTTCTTCACTTATAGTTAAAATCACAGATTTGTGTATACTGCTTTCTTTGCCGTACACATACTAACAACCAACCGAACACATCCACAGCAAACAAGCAACTGCCTCCATCAGCTAAGAGAGAGAGGGAAAAGAACACCCAGCAGAGACGTGGGGCTCTTTTTGAAATAAAAGACTGGAAGGAATGTTTGGTTAGTGTTGCATAGACATACAATAACCTCAGCCCAGAAAAGTCCTTACCAGTCACATAAACTACAGATGGCATGTAAGGTTGCAAACAAAACTCCAAAATTTGTTTGTTATATCATGTGCCTTTCTTTCAGCTTGTGCCTTGTGTTCATTGTGTTTTGTTTTCTGACTGGTCACTGGAAGGTATGCACGGACTTAATTTGCATGTCTACTTGCTGAGGCACACATATCTGTGGAATCTTGCTGTGGCGATCAACCCTTTGTTGCCCCTATTTCTTTGGGCCTCACAGAGGAACACAGGCCCTTTTCGCTGCCACCAGGTATTCTCTAACGCCACTTCAAGTCCCACACAGGAGCTGCCACCCCAAAAAGGTCATATAACTTAGGAAGCAGGGTTTATGATTAAATGTTCTTTTATTATTGACCAAATCAACAGGAAAATCATATGTGAATTGGTTCAGGTGTAAATACTTTTAGGATCATGTAGTCAATAACTTTACTATCCCTTTTATGTCTCTCTTGTTATGCTTATACATTCATTCCTGCTTGTTCCATGTGTTTTGCTTTCAATTTCCTCTCCTAAAACCCTTTGATCTATTCCTAAACCCCAACACTCTCTATACATCTTCTGGTGCCTGACTCTTTCTACCTCTCCCTAACTGCAACTCTCCCTAACTGTCTCTTCAACTCCCTCTGTCACTCTAACTCCGCCCCTCCTGATCTAGCCTTCGCTCCTCCCCCTTAGCTGTTGTGATGGACAGGCAAGAATGACATCACCTTTTTGGATTCCGCTACACTTGCTATTAAAAAAGAGGAGGTTAAATGCAGAAAGTATGTGTTCCTAGTAATGTTAATTTTGACCCTCTATCATAATGATCAAGCCAGTCAGACTCACAGCATCTTGGTAGGGCCTTTTCTAGCCTAGAAATAGAAGGAGTTGTGTCCTTTGTCCAGAACTGGGAGTCAGGTTTCTATTAATTTCTTTCTAACACCAGCTTCCTTCCAACAATAAAGCAATTTATATGCTACTAAATTAAGGGTTTCTCCCCCTCCCCCCGGCTGAAGTCTGGTTATGGGTGCATTCTTTTCAATACTGTAAATTTTCCTGTTGAGTCCTACTGTTAAACCTCATTTTTAGCTTAGAAACTGGGATTTAAAATACATTTCAAATATTGTTTGCTGTTTGGAAATGGTTCATAAGGACCAACTTGCTTTGATGAAGCAGCAGGGCCTATTTCAACACCAGAATTGTGAGGTATGTAAAGGAGAAGAATCCTTAGAGGCAAATACTGTACAGTACAAATATAATAACTGCCTTCTGCTAGGTAACTATTGTCTCTCCCCCCCCCCCCAGATTTGTGCTTCGTTTCTCCACCTGATCCAATTCTTGGTGTGACCCCAGATTTTTCACCAGAAGGTAAGTTCTAGATATGGGCATGGAGAATGGATGGTCTCTTTTGGTCCCTGTAATGCCCTATTTTCAGTGTAATTTTGTCTAAAATCTATTTGGACAACAAGGTGCCATTCCTCAGTCCAGTGAATTTTGTATATACACTGCAAAGTTATTTTCAATAGCATTTTAACCATCTTGGCCCCATTCTACAGAACTCTTGGATATGTCATCTGGTGAAATGAGGTCCTTAGATCCTCTGCTGTGGTTTGGGGGAGATCATCAAAGCTTTCCAGCAGAGATGGCTAAGCATCTCCTCAAACAATAAAAACCAGGATTCTATAAGTTGAAATCAGGGCAGCTAAAGTGACAATAAACTGCTGTAAGTAAGCCATGTACATACACTAGAAGACTACCAGAACCTTAGGAATAACTCCTCAAAGCCTCTATCAGGGGAAAGACACCTTTGGTTCTTTATGGCATGGCTTCCAGGTTTAGGAAGCCCAAAGCAAATAAAATCTCTTTTGCAACTAAATATTGGGGCTGGGCCAGGCAGCTCCCAGACAGGGTATCTGAACTGATGATTTATACATAATCTTGGAGGACTTGCTCTTAATAAAACATGGGGCATTTTTGAAAAAAATCAATGTAGACGTGGGTGGAAGAAACAGCTGTATCTTTCCTAATGACCCGGTTTGTTTCTCTTGTGCTCATCTTTACCTGCCTCAACTCTGGCTTCCATTTCCCAGTAAGACAATTCATTGCATTGTCTTTTGGACTCTACAAAGCTTGGGTTCCTTTTGGGCTGCAAGACATGGGACATGGGTGGTTGCCATGTGGTTAGACCTACCATTGTGTGGCACTGCAGACCCATGAATGGGACACAATTATGTATAGGGCAAGTGAGTCTGAATCAAAAGATGATTTTCATGCATTTCTTTATTTACTGCAAGGCCTACCAAGAGTATCTCTATTCCAAAGACCCCTTTGTTCTGCAGAGAGCGTCCAGTACTTTCCTATGCAGACATGGTCATTGTCTCCAGAATCACTTACTAAATTACATAGTTGTAATTTAGACTAAGAAACACTAAGAAAATGTCAACTGTATTCTCGAAGGCTTTCATGGCCAGGATCTAATGGTTATTGTCGGTTTTTCGGGCTGCTTGGCAGTGTTCTGGAGGTTTTTCTTCCTAATGTTTTGCCAGTCTCTGTGGCTGGCATCTTCAGAGGACAGGAGCTAGTAGCTCTGGAATCAACTTTTTGTCCTTTTTAGGAAATTGGGTGATTATGGTGATCAGGGTGATCAATAATTTTGTTATGGATATATTATTGTAATAAGGGGGAGATGATCTGTAATGGTGATTGATGGGTGTCGTTAGCTAGTCTATTGTATGCAGTGATCACCAGTCCTTCTGGCTGTGTAGTTTGTTGACCTTTTTGCAGGCTATATTTTTCAGTGCTAGGAGCCAGGCTTTGTTGAGTTTTAGACTTTTTTCTTTTTGAAGCTGTGCTGATGTTTGTGGATTTCAATGGCTTCCCTGTGTAGTCTAACATAATGATTGCTAGTGCCACCCAAATGTCAGCCATTTACACACTATCAGTAGATCTTCATCCACTAATGATTTAACAATAGCAGAAAATGATAATGATAAAACACAAAGGTCGTGATTAATGCAGAAATGGCATTAACCATAGAAAAGACAGGAAAAAACATTTTTGTATTCTCAAAGGCTTTCATGGCCAGTATCTGATGGTTTTTGTAGGTTTTTCAGCCTGTTTGGCCATGTTTCGAAGGTTTTTCTTCCTAACATTTCGCTAGTCTCTGTGGCTGGCATCTTCAAAGGACAGGAGTTAGAACTCCATCTGTGTTCTGGTGTAGTGTGTGGGATAGTTGAGTATTTGTAGCTGTGGGATCAGCTTTTTGTCCTTTTCAGGAGATTGGGTGATTACGGTGATCAGGGTGTTTTTTTGTTATGGGTGTATTGTTGTGATAAGGGGAGAGATGGTCTCTCACTGTGATTTATGGGTGTCGTTCGCTAGTCTTTTGTGTGCATTGATCACTGGTCTTTGTGGCTGGGTAGAGTTTGTTGACCTTTTACAGGCTGTATTTTTCAGTGCTGGGAGCCAGGACAACTCAACAAAGACTGGCCCCCAGCACTGAAAAATACAGCCTGCAAAAGGTCAATGAACTCTACCCAGCCACAAGGACCAGTGATCACTGCACACAAAAGACTAGCTAACAACACCCATTAATCACGGCAACAGAACATCTCTCCCCTTATCACACCTCACCCGTGATCTTTATCTCTTTAGGGAGAGGTGATCCTGACACTGACCACAGTTGAAAGTTCGATATCACTCAGACCTAAATCCAGAAGTACGTCAAGCCTGCAAACCTTAGTTTTGAGGGGACTATGGTGCCATCCAGCACAAGTTGAATCCTATTCCTTTATCTGCCCTCCAGGTACCAGAAGGCCCTCTGTCTTGTCTGGATGTATTGCTTATTGCAGGGGTGGGCAATTAATTTCCATAGGGGGGCCACATGAACCAACTTTACTTAAAAATAAAACGAAACAGTGATGTTATGATTGTTTTTATTTTAAACTTGTTAATCTTCACAAATACTAAAGAGGTTTTTTGTGGTATGTTAAAGATAAGCAACTGATCAACTTTAGACAAAAAGCTATAAATGGTTTTGATGTTCAAAACTGTCCGTGGGCTGGCACTTTGCCCAGGTCTGGCTTACTGCCATCTCTAGATGAAACATAAAGCACCATGAACAAGGGTTCATCCAGACACTGGTCAAACTAGGCTTGCAAAGTTTCAGTGGACTTGTTGTCCCTTCTGGTTTCAATCAATCAATCTCTATTTTGCGGTCTCCAACCCATTAAAATACATACATATAATATTTAAAATAAGTTGGTATACCATATAACAGTTGGGGCAAAATCTTGAGCTTAAAAACTTGAATAGCAGCTGATATAAATTGTCCCCCCTTAGTAAAGAAAAAACGCAAGATAGCTTTCTGCATGTTCTGGGCTGCTTGGATTATGGACCATCTATGGGCAGCCCAGGAAAGTTTATGGTGGAATGTAATACCTAGGTACTTTAGCTGTTTTACTTGCTCAGTGCAAGAACAGTTAATTGTCCATTTTCTAGGTGTTAGAGACTGAGCGAAAACCATAATTTTGGTTTTAACAAAATTTATAACCAATTGGTTATTCTTACAGTAGGTCATAAATGTGCGGATCAGCCATTTAAGTCCTATGTTTGATAGGGACAGAAGAACTGCATCATCTGCATAAAGCAGTAGGGGGCATTTGGTCTCTACCAATCTAGGAGGATGGAAGTCTGTTCCAAGACACTACCCAAGCAGATCATTTAAATACAGGTTAAATAGTGTGGGGGCTAATATACAGCCCTGTTGAACCCCTTTATTAGCCTGAATAGGTTTTGTCAGGTTTCCTTCTGTACCACATCTAACACGGAGTGTGGTACCCTTATAAAGACATTTAATAAGATACAGGAGTCTCTTATCTATAGAGGTTTTGTATAATTTTGACCATAGAATGTCTCTTGGGGGAGAATCAAAGGCTGATTTTAAGTCTATGAATGCAGTATAGAGCCCATTTCCATGAGAGGACATATATTACTCTGTAAGATGGCTCAAAATCATACAGTGATCAATTGCTGATCTACCTTTTCTAAATCCTGCCTGTTCCTTCCCCAAGATACTTTCCTCCTCTATCCAAGTAAGTAGTCTTTGATTTAAATGATTAGAGTACAATTTACCCAGCATAGAGAGTAGACTGATTGGTCTGTAGTTAGTTGGATCTCCTCTTTCTCCTTTCTTAAAGATCGGTATTATTATGGCTTTGGACCAAGCAATGGGAAATTTACCTGAGTTATTGATATGGTTAAACAAGTTTGCCAACAAAGGTGCCCCCCAATCCATGTTAGCCTTTAGGGAGAATGGCATCTGTTCCTGAGGCCTTGCCTCATTTTGTACTTCTAATCAGGGTTTCTGTTTCAGTCACTGTGACTGGTCTCCACGGAGGAGTGTCATTTAAATGTATAGATGGAGATAAATCTGTTGAATTCTCTTTAATGTCCCCAAATAGAGTAGAGAAATGTTGGGATGTTACAGCTGAGCTGGTTCGAGGATGAGCTCAGGGCATCAGTGACAGGATCCCAAAAGAGTTTAGATTTTTTATTTAAAGTGCATTCTATTAATGCATTCCATCCCGTTTGAATTGCTTGTCTCTTTTTACGCGCTATTAATTGTTTATATTTTTATGTTATAATATTCTGCAGGTAATACATTTAGGTTTTCCTTTCTATAGTTGTTACATACCTCTCTCAGTTTTTTTAAAACTACATAACATTCCCCGTCAAACCACTTGGGGCCACTTATCTTTAATGAGGCTTGTGGAACCAGTTGTTTGGAGGTTAGGACCGTATTCATTGCATTGATTAGGATTCAGTATTTATTTATGGCAGTAGTGGCATTTGTGGCTCCTATGATTGAATTTTTAAGGACTTCCCCTCAGTGGAGCCAAAGAAGCCTTCTATCTTATTGTGGGTTTCCTCAGTCCAGTGTATTCTCTTTTGTTTGAAGCTTAGAAATTTATCTTGGAGATGAGGTTTTACCCTCAGATGGACAGATTGTGAAAGTAGGAGGGTGGTATTAAGGGCATGTGGTCACTATCCAGCCTTAGGCCTACAGAAAATTCCAGTATCTCTCTAGATAAAGATTGGGAGATTAACACAAAATCCACAGCACTGCTTCCATGTCTTGATACATAGGTGAATTCAGGTCATTTGCCATAGCGGGGGTTCCTGTTTAATATTATAAGACCAAGATGAGTCATCATTTGGATCATACAGATGCCACCATAATTCACCTTAGTATCTTTGGAAATTCTATCGTAGCTAGGGGCAAAGATTTCATTGTCAACTGCCCCCCATAAACTAGAAGAAAAGAGTGTGCTATTATTTGAGGCTAATCTTGCATTAAAGCCCCCCATCATGAGTAACTGGGCTCTAGGGAATTTGCATTCTAGTCCTATTATATAATTTTCCAGGTCTTCCCAAACTTGTTTTGTGCTTTTCTGAGATGAGAAGGGTGGGATATAAACATTAACCAAAAAAGGGGGTCTTAGGCCCAAAGAATATATTCCCAGCCATTGCTATATTCCCACAAGTGGGGAGCCAGTTGACAGATGCCTGGAGAGCAGTAAATATCAATATTGGCTAAACCTGCTTTAGGTCTACCTTTCCTTTTGGTGGTCTCAGCGGGCATATCATATACAGCATAGCCGCTGGTTTCAGACTATGACTGCTTATGGTCCTCTTGTTCCTCTTGTATTAGCCACATACATTTAACTGCTCACCACTTTTCTTTTCCAGAAAACTGCAAAACTATCAGTAATGCTAATTATGCAGCTTACTATTATGCTAATACTTCAACGGGCACCCTGCGCTGTCTATCCAACTGTTCCAGTGACAACCCTGATGCCATCACTTGCAAGCATGGAATTTGTGCCATATCCCTAAGAGGTGCGCAGTGCAAGTAAGTGAACAGAAAGGAACGATGAGCCAAAGAATCCCCAGATGCAAACTCTTCAATCCACCTGACATTTAAATTTGAAATAATGACTAGGACTGTATATCTGTGAAGATTCTCAGTCATTCAGATGAGGTTATCTGGAAGTAATAAGACTTATTGTTAGGTTGAAACGTTTCACTACTCATCCAAGTAGCTTCTTCAGTCTGAGGCGAGTTGGTAGGAGATCCCTGATATATCCTCCACGTTAGTTTCACTTCCCCCTGGTCTGAATAGACTGGTTAGAAGGACAAAGGGCTTGGGGTGAGGGATAACCTGGTCATTCCTTACATGACGGGTGTGTCTGAAAAACTCAAAAGGATACCCGTGCACTTCAAACTCACAAACACACTGAGGCAGACACACGTCCACCCAAAAGACCGGACACCAAAACACAACAGGAGCAATATAGTAAGTCTGTGCAGTCCAATGCAAAGAGAAGTGTTTGGAGCTCTACACTGGAGAAACCAAACAGCCGATAGGAGAAATGCCCAGCACAGGAGGGTCAATGGCTCAGGACCACAATCAGCAGTGTTCCTTCATTTGAAGGACAAAAGACACTCATTTGTTGACCAAGATGTAGTCATTGTGGACGGAGAAGACAGGTGGTTTGGGAGAGGGGTCAGAGAGGCCAAACATGTGCATATAGAAAATCCCTCACTCAAAAGGGGTGGAGGCCTTAGATACAATCTCTCTCCTATTTATCATGCTGCCCTTTCCTCCCTTCCCAGAAAGATTAGGACCACACCCACCAGAAACATCACTGTTAACAACCATTAACTATCCATTGCAATGGGTGGAGAAGGACTGCAGAAGTGGGATTATTCCTCACCCCCAATCCTTGTCCCCAGCCTATTGAAACCTACTAGTAATTCACAACTAAAATTTGCCCATCTAACAGGTTGGAATTTGATGAATCAGCTCTTCTGTAAGTGTCATTGTTTTAGATGGGGCGATTCTAGCTGCAATCTACTACGCTAAAATAAGTTGCAGGTAGAATAGGCCCATTTGATTCAGTGGAACCTACAATTGACTCACCAAATCACCACTAATTCAATGGGCCTATTCTAGTTGTGGTTTACTGCTGGGTTTCAGATGGAGTGCTAAAATATTTTCATCATCCAATGCTAGAATAGGCCAAATGTTCAATGAGCCTACTCTACTTGTGACTAACTATGCCTAAACAACAGGATTTCAGCCATTCGGGCTGTGTGTGATAAGATTAGCATATAGCTCGCTATTTACTGTAGTTTGTTTTTGGAATGGTTTGGTTCACTGTTTTCCAGTGACCACGGGTATTTTAAACAAGAGCAATATATTCTGCCCCTTTTATGAGATGTTCTGATGCTTTCTGACACAGTGCTAGGGTTTCAATGTATTTGGTGCAATTGGGAGCAATCATGATTATCTTGTTCTACAGTCTATGTGATTGCTTAATTCACTCCCAAATAGAGCTGTTGACAGTGCAAATCCTATGATGTATGTAGTGAGTTGTGGTAGTAGAAAGGATGGCAGAGGAACCCTATCTTCTGTTTTCCTCTTCTCACAATTTAAAAAATATTATGTGATGCAGCAGTATTTCAGATATAAGGCAATATCCATGCTAGTCGATGTATTGCTGTAGTGCTGTTTCACTTACTAAATTAAACAAAAAAAGGAAAGTTGCGGCAACCCGCAGAATGACAGCTGCAACAAAAGGCGGGGAAAGCAGCAGGGGAAGGAACATCAATAAGCAAAAGGGGGATAAATTAGTGCAATCTGAAGTGCTGCCTAGATCTTTCTCATGGGGGGAAAAGTCTCCTGTGTGAATGGAAGGATTGCTCAAGTGTGAGATAAAATAGATTGTGTTGAACATAAGAGCTTTTTTAGTGTGGCCCGGATTGCTCCAAATTCCCTTGTCTAGTCACACCCTAAGTTACTTTTATGCAATCATTAATGTTGGGGGGAGTACTGTTTCCATTTGCTACGTTACTTTTGAATTGTAACTGCCTTATGGACGCATTACTTTCCCCTTTCAGGTAACTTGTTGTGTGCCTTATTTTAGCTGGTTTCTAGTGTTCTTTGAGTCTTTTCCTAATTAAGAAACATTCTGCATATTGAAAATAAGTACACCAGGGCAATGACTTCAAGGACTTGAAATGCACATGTAGCCATCCATACAGATGGAATTTGAACCCAGATTCTTCATTTATCTCTGCAGTCTGTGCTCTATTGTGGTTATTGTTGATAATCAGACTTCTAACCCTTATCTTCTATCTAACTTCCCTAGAAGAGAAATTATACTGAGTGATTGCTATCTCTGTAGTGTCTGTTAGACTGGTGTCAAATACTGCCAAAAGCAGCAGTGGAAGTTGCAGGGGTCTCATGAGTGCACAAAAGCTGTTTTTTATAGGGTCACACCTTTGGACAATCTGGTTCAGTATTGACTCCATACATGGCCTGGCAGCAGCTGTGCAGCATCTGCAGGATCTACATCTGCTAATTCAGTGATTCCCAACCTTGGGTCCTCAGATGTTCTTTCACTACAACTCCCAGAAATCCTGGCCAGCACAGCTAGTGGTGAAGGTTTCTGGGAGTTTTAGCCCAAGAACATTAGAAGACCCAAGGATGGGAACCACTGTGCTAAACGAGCCTTTTAAGACAAGATACCGGGGATGGAACTTGGTACTTTCTGCATACAAAGCTATAGCTCCTGCCTTCCTGCTTCATTTCATAGCAGATCAGTCTATGCAGCATACAAAGCAGGCCCTTGAACATCAGGTGGTTCAGTACATTAAAGATAGCATATCACTAGAATTCTCTAAGCACTGAAAGGTTTCTGATCCTCATAGCACAAATTTGGAAAGGAGCTTGCTTGATTTTATGATTGTTCATTGGGAGGTAAACATGTGCCTCATTTGCAAGTATGATTTCTGGCACACAAAGATCTGTTGGAATGATTTCTCTGGATCACTAATGTGATTTCAGGTTCTAATGACATGCTATCTGTAAAAATGCATAGTTACATCTGTAAGATTCAGTTTGGCCCTTAGTGAACTCAGCATCTGGAACACACACATCTCACTCTAGGTCTGCTGTGTATGTCCTCGTGTTGCACATTGCACAGAAAGTGAAAGGAGCAGAGTCCAGTTCTTTTTTTTTTCTCCTAATAACTCATGGACTGGAGACATGGATGGGCACATGTGAGTTAAGCCAATAGATTTCATTTAAAATCTTACCCATAAAAAAGAAAGAAAAAGATAGTAGAAACACCCCCTTCTTTCAAGAGCTATGCTATAGTTCTGATTTATTTATTTATAGTTTCTGGTTTATTCTTGCAGCAGCACAATTCACGTATGTGTGAGGATGGAGTGAGACAAGAATGACTGCAAATGCCTGAGAGAAGGAAGAGACAGCCTTCCTAACCCATTTCTCTGTTTCTCTCTCTCCAATAGCTGTACGGACTTGGATTTATTTTGGTACTTGGATAGCCACTGCAATAGACGTTTCCAGAAGAGTGAGGTGGGCCTTGGACTAGGACTAGCTGTCCTCCTTGTGACAAGTGCCATCTTGGCTTTCTTCCTCTTCAGAGCCAGACAGAGGAAGTCTACATCAAGGTAAGAGCTGCAGAAAGTCCAGAGCTTTGATGGCCTCAGGGGAAGACATAAATCCTCTGACTTCCTATGTGGGGAAGACAATCTGCTGTGTTAGCAAACATGTACAAACCTTGAAATGTGTGAGGAGGAGGTCTGGAGGCAATGTTGAACCTGGCTGTATTTGTGGGTCACCTGGAAGTGAGAAAACCACCATTACTATAAACTGAAATAATTGGTCTTGCCCAGAGTGGCATAACGTCTGTGAAAGTACTTCCTGTGCTCAGGAGTGTGTGTGGGTCAACTTATTTTTTTTTCCTGGTTTGGGGACTTGGTACTGACCTGAATGGGTGGAATGTATCAAGGAGTAGGGGAAAAGGGGTTACATGTCTAGATTTCCATGGGGGAGAGGAAGGAGAAACAGTTACTACAGAATCAAGTCATTTTCTTCCTGGAGTGCTGCAAGGATTTATGAGGAGGGAAGCAACCTGTGCCCAAACGAACACGTTCCTCTTACGACCTTTGGTTTCTTGTCATGACTGGCATTTGTTGTTTTTTCTAGCTTCACTGATGATGTTGAACTCTGGTATGGAGAGGATGTGGAGGAAGAGTGGAGGCCGTCAGAAGATGTGGGCATTGTCAATCCATCATCAGCTCCTTGGAATGGTAAGCACTCATTAAGCCACAACAAGGGTGAACGTGGATGGCTGGGGATGGGAGAAGCAGGAGAGGCTCTCCCGCACTTAGCCTCAAAACTCTGATGGGGTAATGAAACTGCTGGTAGGCAGGAAGCAATGGAAGGGTCCTTGTGGGTGGCCAGGAAAGGTCATGCATGGGATGAAGAAGACTGCCTGGCTAAAAATTCTAACACTTTGGGTCCACTTTTCTTCTCAGAACATGAAGAGAGAAGCAGAGTGTTCAAACCATGTCTTTCCGCATTAGACACGTCAGCAACGGTGCGTATAGCTGGTTTCTCATCTTTACCAGTTCTTACTCATTCCCCTCCTCTAGGATTAAGCAGTTGATCCATACTGTGTAACCTGGAGAAAGCGTCATAGAGGGTTGTGTGGATATGGGACATACTGGGTATCGAAACACACATTATTCAGTGAAGAGCTAAATTGAAGAGTTTAATTGAAATAGCATTCATGTATAGGCAACGTGTCCATATGAACAGAAGTAATTTAGCAAAGTAAGGCATCGTTTACATAGCTCCAAAATACGGATGTATATATGTATACCAACGATACCCCCCCACACCCGAAGTTGGTCCTCCTGGAAGGCAAGGGCATGCTCTGTCTTGCAGGCTGCACGCAGCTGGTCTTTTCGTTTGTTTCCTCCAGACCGCAAACCGGCGCGTTTTTACATTGCTCCCTGAGGGTGCGCAGATTGCGCTCTCCCCGAGGCCTTTGGAAGAGAGAGCAGGGCTTTCCTCCGTGAACTTTGGCAACCTGTCAGCGGGTGCAGCGGGTTGCAGGCAGTGGCGTTGGCTGGATTGGTTTCTTGTTTGAAGGACTCGCCAGCTTTCATTGCTAGCCTGTCCTTGCTTCGACCGAGGAAAGACAAAGGGGGGTGCGCTCTTGTATACTGTAGGTAGGGAGGGGAGACTTGGAGGCATACAGTGCCGATGACATCTGGAGTCATTCCCTCGCTAACCGACACAACGGAGGTGGGTTTGTCTTCCCTTTGGGCTTTTCCCCCTTCGGGAGTGCCAGGTGTTCGTCTGTATGTACATGATGGTCCCTCCCCCACAGGTGTCTTGGCTGCCTCCTTTCTGCCTTAAACGACCGCTTGTCCTAGCCACCCCACTGGCCTACGGCCCTCAAACCAAAAAAGGCTGCCGAGTTCGTGTGGTGTGCTTTTGCCGGGAAGCAGTGCTCCATGCTCCCCCGCTCGATTTCCCCCTACATGAAAAAAGTGGGTTTAAAAAGTGGGGGGCATTTTATACATGGGGGCGTCACATACACGGAAAAATACGGTATATGTTTAGAGCTGAATCAAAAGTTCATAGAGAAGAAAGTGTGGGTCTGGGAGAAGATTGGGGGGGCCAAGGGCTTGTGGAATAAACAGTTTATCTGGTTGACTGTTCTTTCCTTTTAGCTGCTACCACCTGCTATGCTACTGTGGTGGCAGTGGACCTACTGGCAGCAAAATGGGCACTGACGACTATTCCCCTTCACAGTACCCATGAAAGAGACTCTTCATCTTTCACTGGACCATTGCGGTAGTGATGGAAATAGTGGTGATGGGAAGGGCAATGACCATTAAAATCACTGCTGTCAGTAATCTACATTCTTTCCTGAACTCCCAACTACAGACAGCACCAACATCCCCATTTTCCTTGCTGGGATGGTAAAAATGACAGAAAGTATTGTTATCAAGAGTGTCATATACTCTCCAAAGGAATTCCATTGTTTCTTTCTTCCCATTTCATATAAGTCCTTTTTTTTCATGCATCTCATGATACACTTTATATTTCTTTTTGCAGTTCCAGAAGCCAGTAGTGGTCACTCAGCGTTGTTCTCAGCCTTAAACGGGATCAATTCTTGATAGCTCCCTTGAACAGTCAAGGTGAATCAACAAACCAGCATCCTAAGGATTGTACTGAAAATCCATCAACAGGCAGGCGGGTCCAGTGGTGCTGATGTTCACCTTCCTAACCTTCTCAGATATGGTTTCAAAGCCTCCAAGAGATTTTATACACCTGTTTCTTACAGCAGGTCCTTGTTGACAGAAAGCATCAACTTACAAACATACCTTATTTATTGAACTAAAAATAAATTGAGATTTTCTATGACTGCTAATACAGACAAAACACATACATATATTGTACTATCTTTCACAGCAGATGAAAGACTCCACAGTATTCTCACAGCAGATTTGCTATCTCATCTGGCAAATCACATTAGCTTCTCCTGTGTTAAGCTATATGATGGGATATTTTAGATTGGTTGTCAATAAAGACCAAATAAAGAGGGTGGGTGAGTGGTTCATAATAATAATTCTACCAAGTTCTTTTCTTCTACTTTGAAAAAAAGTAACATTAAGTTGAATCCAAAAGGTTCATATATCTTCTGTTGTTTTAGTGAAATAAGTCAGGAAGATGTCATACCTTCGCTGAGGGTTCATCCACATGGGTAGAAAGAAGCTTGTGGTTTCACTCTTCTTACACCCTGTTTTCAGGGTAATTAGAGGAAACGACTGTTTCCCACATTTACACAAGAGGGAACTAAAAGCAGCATTGCCTCATTACACCACTGAGCCACTATCCCCTCTTATTTGCCTTATTCTCCACGCTTTTAACACTTAGATCCTGTATGTCCCCTGTGTTTACCCCTCTTTCTAGTCAGAACAAATATGGAATTGTGAGATCAAACAATATTCTGAATCTTAAAGCACTTTTAAATTTTTTTCAAAAAGAATCTTGCTAATTCACCTCAAACAGCCAAGGTCAGTAAACAAGAGCTTCTTAGTTCAGAAGATCTTGATCCTAGCATTAATCCACTGAGAAGCAAACAAAAATGGAAAACGTAGAATGAGATATCATAAAGAAGCATTTTTAAAAGGGTGTTCCACCCCACCCCCTGCTACTTGGTTATGGGACTGAACCTACTATGGTCATTTTGGTGGATGACTTATGCCAGGAACTGGACAGGGGAAGTGTGTCCCCAGTGGTTATGTTGGTACTCTCGGTGGCTTTCGATACCATCAACCAGCTGCGTCCAATTCCTGAACAGGTCTGATCAGGCCATTCTGGCAGGTGCCTTTGTTACATAATGGCTGGATTACTGTAGCACACTCTACATGGGGCTGCCTTTGGAAAACATTCAGAAACTTCAGCAGGTCCAAACTGCTGCAGCCAGATTGTTAATTGGGGTTGGTTACAGGGATCATGTAACCCCACCCCACCCCTGTTACAGCACCTTCCCTGGCTGCTGATTGATTTCTGGGCACAATTCAAAGTACTGTTTAAATCTGTAAAGTCCTAAATGGCTTGGATCCAAGTTACCTCAAGGACTTTGACTCCCTTTATGAGCCTGCCTGGGTGTTAAGATAATCAGGGGAGACGTTTCACTTGGTGGGGAAATGGGAGAGGGCCTTCTCAGTTGCTGCTTTCAGACTCTGGAACTCCTTCCCACAGGAGACCAGGCTAGCCCCCTATTGGCTGTCCTTCCACAAGCAAACGAAGCGTTTTCTGTTCAGGGAGGTTTTCCTTAGTGACTGACTATCTGAGATGGGCTTTTAAATGGATTGTTGTGACTTGTTGCTTTTAAATGTATTTTCAGTATTGATTTTACTGTATTTACTGTTTTTAATATATTTCTTCCTTTTAAAAATATTTATATACTAACTGTTTTTAGCTTTTTAATATGGACTTTAACTTATGTCAGCAACCTTGGGTCCTTTTTAAGGAGAAAGACAGGGTAAAAATCTTTTAAATAAACAAATAAATCATCCTTGCATCCCTCCTCTGTTTTCTCACTGCAATCTTTTCTCTCACCACAAATATTCATTTAGGAGGAAAAGCCAGAATAGCTACCAGGGCCAGCCCAGAAATTGTTTTGGCTGAAACTGGTGCTCCCCATAAGTCAAAATGTATTGCATGTAAAGGCTGTGAAATTATTTCAGTGTGCAAAGTAGAAAATCCTTTAAGCACTTCCCCCGCACCCCTGACAGTAACAAGCCATTGCCCAAAATCCTCCTGGTATAAATTTGTGCTGGCTTAAATGAGGCATAGGGGTTTATATACTGTATATGTGAGACTCAAAAGCTATTTGTGAGGTTTTAGTGGTCTTATAAATGTCGTGGTCCACCTTTTTTCCTTTTGCATTCCATTGGGTCCTAGGGCCAAATTAGCCACCCTCAGGGTCCATGACAAGTTACACACCCCACTGTCAAATCTTTTCTTTTTTTCGTTTATTTTAAAGATGGAAGTGACAGGAAATTCACCTCAAACTTTCACACAATATAATTCAGAAGGCTGGAACATGGACATCCCTGGTTCCGTGTTGATTGATGGATTGATTGAGTTTATATGCCTACCATTTAGACAAAGTCTACTCTGGGCAGCTCACAATACACGTAATGAAAACAATTAATATGGAATAACAGTTTCCAACATTAACACAAAACAGAATAAAGATAAAGAGAGAGAATTATGTAGTGTCTGGAGGGAAGGCCTGTCTATATAACCAGGTCTTGAGTTGGTTTTTGAAAATACCCAGAGAGGGGGGGCAGATGAATCTTGGGGAGGGGAGCATGTTCCAGAGCCTGGGATCCACTGCCGAGAAGGCCCGGTGTCTTGTTTTTTCTTTGCAGGCCTCCCTCGGCATTAGGCTCCTCAGTCGCCCCTCCTGGCTAGATCGGGTGACATGAGTAGATCTAGGTGGGAGGAGGTTGATGCCAGAGTGGTGGCTAGGGTCCCTCTGGCGGTGGCTGAAAAAGAAGATGGAGGTCACCAAATGGTGAGCGCCAAAGAAGGGTCTGGGAAAGCCTGCACTGGGTCCGGCAGCACAACCCCCTTTGAGGAGTGGCCGGGCAGGGCAATGGGCGTGGAGTTGTCTGCCGATGGACCTGAAGGACAGGGTTTACAATCCGGTCTGCTGGCACGTTTTAAAAAGGAGGATGAGCTGAGGCAGGGATGGCCTATTTATAACATTTGGCCCTACAGTGGTGCCTCTACTAACAAACATCCCAACATACGACCATTTCGAGTAACGACCAGCTCCGGCTGCAAAATTTTGCTTCGACTTGCAGCCAGAGCTTCCAGTTACAAACAGAAAAAGGCAGGGGAAAAAGGCGGGAAATTCAAATTGTGGCGAAGAGGCTGCTTCTTTGTAGTTCTTTCACCCCAGCAGTTAAAGTGTGTGTGATCAGACAAGGCTGCCTGGTAAGGTAAGGTACTGTTTTCTGCTTCTTAAAAACTGGTCTGGGTGTTTTTGCAGCATGGTTTTGGGCTGAGGGGTTTATGTTTCTCTGCTGTGATGGGTCTTGGGGGTTTGTTTGTTTGTTTTTTGTTTCCCTCCCCCATTTCTGATGGGTCTTGGGGGGTTTGGTTGCTTTTTGGAGTGCTTTTTCCCATTTCCGATGGATCTTGGGGAGCTGTTTGTTGGTTGGATCCCCCCATTTCTGATGTGCTCCGTTTGTTTTCTTTGCGTTTCTGATGTGCTTTGTTTGCTTTTTGCTTTGTTTTCTTTGCATTTCCAATTGCTCTGTTTGTTTCTTTGCATTTCCAATGTACTCCATTTGCTTTTTGCTTTGTTTTCTTTGCATTTCCGTTTGCTTTTTCCTTTGCTTTCTTTGCATTTCCGATTGGTCTTGCACGCTTGATTGCTTTTCTTCCCCCCCACTCCTTCGGCTGGAAGGGATTAATCACATGATTTTTTGGGGTGGTGGTGGTATTTTTTTCTTCAGCCGGAATGGATTAATTGCATTTCAATGGGAAATGGCGCTTTGACTTACGACCATTTCAAGTTACGACCATCTTCTGGAACAAATTTAGTTCGTAAGTCGAGGCACCACTGTAAATCTGTCACCTACTTTGGGAAATTCATATTTTCTAGTTATTCTTCCTGCTGTTCACATAGACTTGGAATATTTCTTTCTTCTACTCTGCTAAAAAGAAAATGTTGTCCAAAGCCACCCCCATACAATCTTGGTTGTATTTTATTGGAGAGCTTTGAATTTCTGGTGAAATTCCTCTAGTTATGCAGCAGAAGTGCAGGAATTCACAGAGCAGAATAGCCTCATGTTCCACAAATCAGTTCACTCCCTTTTTCATCAACTGGCACTTACAGTCTCAATAACTCACTGACATAGTAGGAGAAATAATAAAAGGTTTCTTTACTTACAGTTGATAAGATCAAACAGTAAATTGACAACTATGGTTGCTGGCTGAAACAGGCCTCAACAGACTCACTGCTCCCAATAGAAAAAGGCGGGGGGGAAGTAAAAAAAGGGGGAGCCAGGGCTGTCTTTATTCAGAGGTAGGGAAGGAAAAATTTGTTACTGCGGCATAGACTGACAGTCACACCAGCCCAGAAAGATCCCTCGCAGCTACACCTACTAGAGGAAGCATGTAATAATTCCAACATATTTTCCCCCTTGCTGACTGACAAATTTCCAGCCTTGTCCTCTTGCCCTCCGGGCACCTGTGCTACATGCTGGGAAAATGTTATGGCTCAATTGCTACCTGATTATCTATTCTCTTCCTTCTTTCTGGAGTCCAAGGTCCTCAGTTCTACTAGTCTTTCTTCAGAAACTGCATCACAGTCCTTAAAGGAGCTTAGTTTGCCACCTCAGTGCAAATAACGTTAATTCTCCAAGAAATTTGAAGCTGAGCGATGGGGAAAGCTCTCATAACTCTTATTCTCTTCGCCTTCCATGAGGTCATTTTCAGCTCAGTAAAAACAGGTAAGTGGTTTTCAGTTCCTCAGGAAGCCTACAAACCCCTTGAAGGAACCAGAGCATTGTATTTGTTTCCTTCTCTCTCTTTCTTAGAAATCCTGAGATGGAGCTTGGTGTTAGATACACACCGGGAGTAAAACTGTGCGGAAAGCAAGGCTTAGCCTCTTCCATTCCTACTCTAAACAGGTGCTCAGGTGGTTCCAAAAAGCTTCCTTCAACTTGTCCCAGAGTATGTAAGAGAGTCATGATGATGTGGAGCATGTGCAGCGTCTCCTTTTCAGCACTGAGTGACCAGAAGCACTCACCACCTGACATGGGAATAGGCAGTATAAGGAAGGGTACAACTTCCAGAGTGAAGCGGGTGGCCATCAGAAAGATTTTTTGTAGTATTTAAATTGGCTCATCTCATAGGTAAAGATGGAGAACTATTTAATTTCAGATCCTTATGCAGGAAAATTCA